TGGTTTCAGAGCATTAACCCCTCACCCCAAAAACGGACCGAAGCGTTTGAAAAGGTGGATGCAGGGGATATGATGGATCAGAGGGCATTGGCAGACAAGGAGGAATGGAGGCCAGGCCCAAGGGCTTCCCCAGATGAGCAAAGGGGTGAAGTCCCATCGTAAGGACATAGGAAGAGCTGGGCTGGATCAGAGCCAGGCCTGCCTTCCATAAAGGAGAGGACCTCATAGGACCTCCCTTCTGTCCTGTTTTGAGAAGCCTGCTGTTTTCTTATTATTTATTTATTCCAGTCATGCTTATGCTGCCCAGCCTAAAGATTCTGGATGGTGTACAAACCAGCAATATCAAAGATGCATCTGGCAAGAAGACTTCATAAGTAAAACAGTATTGAAAACATAACTAACATTACTGAAGGTAATTTGACTAATAGCCCTTGAATGCCATATCCCTGAGGCTGCCTAATCCCCTTTAAAAGACATCTAAGCCAGGGCTCCATCCACAGCAGTGGTAAATAATCTTTGGATGGCTACAGGAGGCATTTAACTTCTTCAGAAGGGGGGCAATCATGACAGGAGATGAGGCAATTTTGCAAAGGAGGTGAGGCCATGTCAGACCCATTGGCAAGGCCAAGGTTTTCAGGGTGCAATTCAGCTTGGGATTTTTCTGTTCCCAAAGAGCTTATATCTCCTGCCTCAAATTGGCAGGAATCCACCCTGCCAACTTTCTGGCTATCTGATGAAATGTGGTGGAACTTTCACTGGGCTTCCAGAACCACAAAAATGAGTTTGGGAGGTCTGATGTATAATTGAATTAACCCTGATAGATGACCTCTGTTGTTGAAGAGGCAGAGGGTGGGGGGTGGGGAGTGAGTGCCGCATCTGTTGATCCTGCTTGATCTCTCAGGAGTTTGAAGCAGCAGCACTGGCTGCCAATTAGTAGTCCTGTAGAAGGCCCTAACAACTTGGCACCAGGATGCCTGTCAGACATCCTGTACTGTAATAGATTTGGTCAGGTCACTGAAATCACTGGGAAGCAGCAAAACGTATCTACCCAAAAGAAAAGAAGTCCAGTTGCCATGACTCAACCTCCAGATAATTCCACTTGGATGACTGAGAATCTTCATCAATGTACGCCCTGCTGCATGTCCCAAAGGCTGCGAAATGCCACCCAGTGCTGCTTATGAGTGAGCCTTCTCTCTGTTGGTGCACATGCATTCAGGAGGTACTGTAAGTGCTATATAAAATTGTAGGGACCTTGTGAAAATGTACTTAGTCAGGCCTTCCCAGCATGAATGTTGGAAGAACTTTGGAGGGGGGGGGGTTTCTATTTCCCCACCTTTTTAATAAATATAATGTAAATGATTGCAATTATTGGTCTATATTGTTTTAACATAGAACTTTAATTCTTGGTTTAAGTGTTATTGCAGCTTTTAATGCAAACCATCCTGAGATACTTCAGCATCTAAGCCAATATATGAATGTGCAGAAGGAAGGAAGCACTGTGTGAAGACTATTTTCTCTCATCTCTCACCATGTTTAATCTGCCATTATGTAGCTTCATTGGATGATCCTGACAAGAGGACAAGAAAAGCTTTTTCTTATTTGCTTTCTCCATGTATAATGTGTTACAAGCAAACACCCCTTTTTCCTCTTCTCCAGTCTCTACAACTCCATATGCTGCATTTGTTCCTCCAGGGGAGCAGCTTCAGCCACTTGTTCATTTTGGTGGGCCTGATTTGCAACTTTCTTAGTCCTTTACTGTCTTTTGGGTACCAAGAATAGAATTGAACACGGTGGCTTAGCCATGTTTTAAGCCTGGCTTCTTGAATAAACAATTTAAGTGCTAATAAGGTTTGCTTGGTTTTTATCTATCTGTATTTGCTAGATTTCTGTCCTGCCTTTTCTGCAGGAGCTCCATGGCGATCTCCATTTCTTTTATTCCAGTAGCAACCCTGTAGAGTAGGTTTAGAGTGACTGGTCCAAAGTCACCCAGTGACTTTTCATGGCCAACAGTGGATTTGAATTTGGGTTTCCCCCTTTCTAGTCTAACATCTTAACCAATATATCGCATTGGTCTTTAGTTTTGGCTTAAGATGTATGACTCCTGCTATGTTCTGTAAACCATGGTTCATGGTTTAGCAGAATATTGGAATCCAGCCAATTTTTATTTATTCAAGGAATCATAAGCTATATGAGTTGAACAGGACCAACAGATCATCTAGTCTAACTCCTACAGGAATCTCCTGAAACATCCCCAACAGGTGGACATCAGCCTCCATTGAACAACCTCAGTAACAGGGATTCTACCACTCTTCTGGGCAGAGGTTTCCATGGCTTACAAGCTGCTATGGCCAGGAGATTCCTCCTGAAATTCTTCTTAATTCATTTTTCTTTTAATTTCAACCAAATGCCCTTGTCCTGCTCTCGGTTTCAGCAGAAAAAAACGGTCTGTCCCCTGTTATACATGACAGCCTTTTAGATGGTCATAAATAATTACTGTATTATGGTTCTTTTGTTCTCCATAAACCCTGCTCCTTTAACTTTTCCTCACAGGGCTTGGTTTCCAGGCCCCATACTGTCCTGGTAGCTCTTCTCTGAATCCTCTTCAGCTTCTCCATCTCCCTTTTAAAATCCAGTACCTAGAACTGCAGTGCGATCTAGTCAGTTTTGAGTACAATGGAATTATTCCTTCCTGTGATCTAGACAAAATGCTTCTGTTAATGCATTTTGAGACTGTACTGGTCTTTTTAGCTATGGTTGGAATTCCACAGCTACTCCTAAATTACTCTTATATACACGGCCATCAAGATAGGTCTCCCCAACCCTGTACCTATAGATTTGATTTTTTTTTCCAACCCAGATGCAGGATCTTACATTTCTGACCTATTTAATTTGGCTCATCCTCAAGCCTACTGAGTTTACTGTGAACTGTGATTTTGTCCTCTGAAGTATTAGTTTGATGCCATCTGCAAATGTTCCACACTTCCAGCTATTCAAAACCAGCACTGAAGTTCCCTTACAATGATCATTAACAGGGAGGATGTCAATCTGGCTCCAATGCACCTTGCAAGCCCTCCTCCCTGCCTGTGACCTATCACTCAAACCATTTCTCAGCACAGATCTAGTGCTCTTTTTGAAAGAACATTAAACCCACATCCAAAAATAGCCTGGCAGATAGGCTAAAGGCACAACATCATAAAGGCTTGGGCAACAAGCTGGTCAGTAAATTCCTGTCGCAACCAATGGATCAACATTTGGTTGATCTGAAAAAACCAGACCCTGCATCTGTGGAAAAGCACTAGGAAGAAAAAAAAAGAGATGGCATGCAAGAGGGATGCAGGATGAAGTGGGAGAGACCTGTGAATGTGTGCATATAATCACCCTGTGTGTACACACCTGAAAATCCATATATACATTTCAGTGTTCACATATGCATGAATGTGCACACGTGTGGATGTATGAGAGTGCATATCTATGAATCTATGGATGCAGACACATACATGGGGGTTCAAAGTGGAAGGCGAAGTGCAGTAGCTGGATTTTAATAGCAGAGATTACAATTTAATTGCATGAGAGCCAGTGTAGTATTGTACAGCGGTTCAGGTCTGGACTAGGAGCAGGAAGACCCAGGTTCTAGCCCTCCCTTAGGCATGGAAGCCAGCTGGGTGACCTTGGACCAGTCACTTCCTCTCAGCCCTAATCAGCATCAGGCTCTGGAACAAGCTGGCTGATAAACAAAAAGCGGCTTCGCTGTAAGAACCAGGTGAGCAAAGTGCAAAAACCAGCAGACCCTGCAGCCATGTGAGACAAATACTGAGAAGCACAATAATTCAATTACATGTTCAATTACTCTTCCGGGTGCTGCCAGCTTTGAGGTCAGAACTGGACTCCTTGATCACTGACTAGTAGCATTGCCACTCACTTGTAGCAAACCACTAAATAAGGAGAGACATTCAATTACACTTTCAATTACAGGGAGACACTCCTACTACAATAAGAACTGGATTTCACCCATTTCTGTGTTCCAGTACAAAATAAGGGACTAATTTTCCAGCATTACACAGAAGCTATCAGCAGCAGCAGCAGCAGCAGCAGCAGCATGCTATTTTGGCAGCTGTGCCTCACTCTTTCCTTGCACTAAGTACTGCAATGCAGTCCCCTGTTAGCTACCTTGCTTGACAACCACAGAAACAGTTGCATTTTCGCAAGAGTACAGCTTTTCCAGAATTGTGCAGTAGTGCAAGAGCGCTTTATATCACTTCTGTGCAACCCAAGCATGACTCCTCTCACTGCCATTGCTGGATATTGCATGGGCACTAATCAGCACAGGCAGGCAGAGCCACGAAGGGCCAAGCATATGCCATGGCAGACTCTCTCTGAGGTCTGCTGGCATCACTGAGTTCTATGGAGGTGAACAACCCAGACTGTATCTGCCATTGCAAGGCTGAATGTGGAAGAAGTACTGGGAGCCCTTGAGGGGACAGAAATCACAGCCCAGTGTTTTGCAAAAGGAGCCCAAATCTTGCAGAGGATCTGGGCCTTCCTGCTTCAAGGTGGCAATAAGAATAGGCCACTTTGCTTTTCAGCAGAGGACAAGACGCAATCAGCAGTGACCTTACTCTGTGCATCCATGGCAGTGAATTCAGCTGATACTGACCTTTTTTTTACAATAGATTTAGAATGAAATGAGGCACCCTTCCTGAGATCACAGACTGGCTCCAGCGGCTGCTCCAGAACCAAAACACAATACCATACCAGTTATTTCTGGAAGAGGAAACAGGGGTGATAACCGTGAAGTTACTGCTGCTGACAGCTGATCTTCACCAGTGTTCTATAATGATGATGCTTTGGAAGTTGGCCACTTGTTTCTGCAATAACCTCTCAGTTTACCCATTCATAAGTAGATTCTAAAGATACTTACTTTCATTTAAAAAGAGGAAGCACATGTGTATGAAACCGCCAGTGTGGAAGAGTGATTAAGGCGTTGGTCTAGGGCCAGGAAAAACCAGGTTCACATTCAGTGGAGCAACCACTGAAACTCCCAGGATGATTTTGGGTGAGTTGTCCTCTCTCAGCCTAATGACACAAAGAAGTGTACTTAAATATATATATATATATACAAACACACACACACACACACACACACACAGTATGAAACAAGAACATCTGGGGAAGGAGAGGATGGTAAGAACTTGGATGGAACACATGGGAAGAATTAGGGTAAACTGCCCCCCTGGGACTCCAAACCTTCCCTCCACTTCTTCAGGATATGCCATCTCTGGTTTTGGACCTCCAGGAGATAGTTTACTGTTGAGAAAAGGCAAAGAAAGGCCAAGTGGGAAGCTACATCACCAAGGCTGACCACAGACTAGTGATTTCATTGTGAACACCAGGCCTGTATTGTACACGCCCCTTGTTTGCACTTTACAGTTTTTGCCAACCCATATTCCAGTGTGAAACAGACTGGAATGTCACCAATATTCATGAGCTCTGAGCACCCACCTTGCTAGGTGAAAATGTGATAATTCCAACTCTAGATCTGGATGAAAACATAATAATTAGTAAGCCTCGCCACATGTGTGCTTAGCAGTCTGTTCAAAATAATTGCCTTTCCAGTTTATTTATTATCTATCTATCTATCTATCTATCTATCTATCTATCTATCTATCTATCTATCTATCTATCTATCTATCT